ATATATATATATATATATATATATATATATATATATATATATATATATATATATATATATATATATATTAGGGTGTTTCTTATTTGGGGTTAAAAAAATTTTATTTTTATTTTTTAGTTGGCCATTGAAATGGTTCATTTTGGTGAGCAAATAAATGTGTAAAAATTTCAAGGGGAAAAAAACATTTTTACTGAGCGCTACCAGTTATTGAAATTTAAGGCATATTTTACTATGCACTCTTAGTCATTTACATTGGAAAAAATCATAAAACTGATGGAGACTGGTGATAATGACTCATTTACTTGGAACACAATTATTTACTTATTACATGCATTAAAAATATCCATTTTCTGTCATTGCATTTCTACTTATTTATTTAAAGACAGCAAAAAAAAATGCTTTTTTACTTTGATTGTAGGTTTATTTAATTTACATTACTAAGATTAATCGCTCATGGGAGTTGTCTTTTTTCTGTCAGGATATTTCTGTCTATATTTTTGAACTACCAACAACAGGAACTGCTTTTGCTCTTCGTTATTTGTATGTAGTCTATTATATTCGTCCATTAGTGCTATGCCACGTTCTGCAATGTTGTTGACAACGTTTCATAGGTATCTCGTTTCATAGGTATCTGATCTGAAACATTGTTCAATGCTTGGACCATCTTGACCTTCGTCTCATGGGCAAACCTCATCATCAAGAAAAGCTGTGTGGTACTTTGTGGAATCAATTGAAACCCAATTTTTTTCTTGATACTTCTTCTTGCTTTGCCAATTTCTTATTGACTGGACCCATTTTGCCTCTCCGAATTTTCTCTTATTTGGCATAATAGGAAGTCCTTATCCTCCTTAATGGTGATCATTTCCAATGCATTGGCAATGGCAATATCGGATAGTTCTTCTAACCCTTCCTTCCATTGGTCTTTCTTTTGTTTCAAATAATCTGAACGCTTAGCTTTATTCTCTTTATTTTTCTTCAACTTTTCCCAATCCTTGTAAATGTTTTCGATTTTAGGGACAACGTGCTTCTTTAATTGTACAGGTATTCGGGCCTTTGACCAAACTTCAAAAACATCATTTTCTGTGGAATGTAATGCTTCCCTAATGCTTTGGTTGGCAATGTGCTTGTAATGGAAGGAAAAGCCAACGCTTCCCTTTTTGATGGAAGCATAACACTATCTAAAGAAGAGGACATCTGTCCAATAAGCCATATCTCAGTTTTCTTTCTGGTAGCTATCGTTGCACTGGTTGATGAAGCCATGACTGTACAGTAGTTACACTAGTTTAACCTGCAAAAGGAATAATTAAGCATTATTGACACAATTCTGTACACTAAAAGTAAAAAAATTACTAGTTAAAAGAGGTTTGTACGCTAAGCACCAACCACTTTTATTGCATAACATCATACGCAACATAAGCATTTTTAGGGTACATTTGCGCAATACTGTAGGGTCGGTAGCGACCCCTAGAAATCATTCTGTCAAAAAAAATAAAAATAGAGTATTACTTTTTTATGATAATGAACCAAATAGCAGGGAAGCCCATGCAAAAATCGATTCTTTAAAAGTAAGAAACACCCTAATATATATATATATTATATATATATATATATATATATATATATATATATATATATATATATATATATATATATATATATATATATATATATATATACATATATATGTATATATATATGTATACATATATATATACATATGTATATATATATATATATATATATATATATATATATATATATATATATATATATATATATATATATATATATATATATATATATATATACATATATACATATATATATATATATATATATATATATATATATATATATATATATATATATATATATATATAAATATATATATATATATATATATACATATATATGTATATATATATATATACATATATATATATATATATATATATATATATATATATATATATATACATATATATATATATATATATATATATATATATATATATATATATATATATATATATATATATATATATATATATATGTATATGTATATATATATATGTATATATATATATATAAATATATGTATATATATTTATACACACACACACACACACACACAAATCCTATCACTAAGCTTGTACTGTTTTTTACAGATTGTTTGTAAATTCAAGAGGTGGAATTGAACTTAAAAGAAATGGCGAGAAATATAGTAGATGGCAATGGTATTTGGTTCAAGGTCATAAACGAACACCTCCATTTCACCCTATGTGTTTTTCTCTGAATAAATATATCTCTGTTCGCTATCAGGATCAAGTATGGTTTATAATATTGTGATCTCTTTTTTTTTTTAAAAAATAGTTAAATTATTAAACGTTAATTTAAAAATTTTTTTATATATATATATACATAAATATATATATAAATTTTAAAAATTTTGTTATATATATATATATATATATATATATATATATATATATATATATATATATATAACACTTTCATTTTGTAGTTTTAACTTTTACACATGAAAAAAAAATTTTCGTTCAATATATTTGTATAAGCTACTTTTAGTATATTTTAATATGAAATATTTAGCATGCTTTAGTATGTTTATTTTGTTTTAATAAAATTGAAATTATTAGGTTATTTTTGTTGTTTTTACAAAACACTGCTTTTGTGTTTATTTTAGTATAATATTGGTCTTCTACTTTCTATCAATAAACAAAACATCAGGTTCAATGTTGCTGCAAAAATAAAAGCAAGTTTTTTTTTTTATCAAGTAAAAAGTGTTTCTTATTAAATATATTTTTTATGTATAATAAGGTTATGATATATAACATATGTGTATGTATGACATATATTTATATAACATATATGTTTACATATATATATATATATATATATATATATATATATATATATGTATATATATATATATATATATATGTACATATATATATATATGTGTATATGACGTATATTTATATACATATATATATATATATATATATATATATTTATATATATATATATATATATATATATATATATATATATATATATATATATATATATATATGTATACATATATACATATATATATATGTACACTCACACACACATATATATATATATATATATATATATATATATATATATATATATATATATATATATATATATATATATATATATATATATATATATATATATATATATGACAATAGTATTCCATACATGGAAGAATAAGAGATTTGTAGAGCTAGAGAATGGAATAAGGAGTAAGAAAAAGGATGATGAGGAAGATGAAGGATAGATGACATTATGTCGAGTACATTACCGTTCATAAATATAGGAAGGTCAAAATTATTGCGATAATGATTGGCTGAAGAAAATTGAGTTTTATCTGAATTAAAGTTTACCAACCACTGTGAGCCCCATGCTGTAGCAGAAGTGAGATCCTTTTCGAGCTTAAATTCCCCCTGCAAACGATTTGATAATCTCAAAAACTTTCCTAGATTCACCAAATGAAGCAGTCTTATGGAGAAGGCCAGAATGCCAAACTTTATCGAACGCCTTAGATATGTCAAGAGCAATAACCTTAACCTCTCCACTTTCATCCCATGCAATAATGATAAAAAAATTTTAGTCACAGCAGTTAGTAAGTCAGCCGTAGAGTGAGAGGATCGAAAACCATATTGATTGTCTGACAGTAAGTTATTTGACTTAAAATTGGATGTGTAAAATTTGTTGATCAAAGACTCAAAGATCTTGCTAATAAGAGATAGAAGACTAATCAAATGATATTTGGAGGGGTCAGAATGTTCACTGTATTTTTTTAAAAATTGGAACAACAGATGCCATTTTACAGCAGGTAGGAAAACAAGACTCAGTCAAGCATTTATTAAATAGTTTAGAGAGAATTAAAGGAAATTGAAGAGAGTTCTGGAGAACAGTTTTGTAAGATTATGACAGGAATGTTGCCTGAACCACAAGCATTACAAGAGTTTAATTGAGGTATAACTTTAGCAACAGAAGCTGGAGTGGTTTGAATGTCTAACAATGGGTTAACCTATTTAATTGGTATGGAAGGAAGAGAAGGCCATAAAATTCAAGACTCGAATTTGAAGAAAAGTTCTTTGCAAATAGATCTGCCTTATCTATGGGAGAAGTAATAAGATCAGTCCCATGAATGAGAAATGAAATATTAGACCTACCATTGTTAATGACGCTGTTAACAATTTTCCAAAAATCTCAAGAGACTAACTTCTGAGATAAGACGCGATATTTAGTGAACTGAGAATAATAGAGCTTAGCATCAGGCAGCACCTTTTTACATCGATTTTTTGCAATAATAAATTGCCGTATGTTCTCAAGAGAGTTGTTCTCTTGAAACGAATGAAAAAAATAATTACGATTAGATATAGCAGCTGCACAAGAAGGTGAAAACCTTAGAGTAGAATGAGGCTTTACTTGGAACCGACAAAAAGGAATAAAAGCTTTCATTCCTGCCTGAATCAAAAAGGTAGGAGGCGCATTTATCAGCGAAGAGAGAAAAGACTTCATCCCAAGGACTGTCACGAAAAGAATCCCAGTCAGGTTTAGGGTAGCAGTAAGTAGTGTAATGATAGAGTGAGTGCAAAAAGGAAGTATGAGGTGAAAGATTTAAAGAGATCATTGCATAGTCAGAACCACCTAAGGGAGAAAAAGGAGAAATTGAACACAAGATAGGATAGAGATCAGACATAAATCAAGGAGCGAAGATAAATGATTAGGGTTGTCAGGAAAACGATTCACAAAGTTAACTTTCTCAGTAAGAGATTGAGAAATGCAGAAGTTATAAGCTTTAGTGCCAGCAAGGTCAGTGGCGTTAGAGCCAAGCCACTCAGTGTGATGAATATTGAAGTCACCAATAACAACAATATTGGCAGAGTCGTAAAGAGAGAGAGCACGACTAATTTGATCAGAAGGAGAAAAATAAAGAACAAAGAGAAAAGTGATAGAGTGAAGAGGTCTAAGCGGAAGCACATAACAGAATGGTCAAAGGATTCAAACCTGATTTTCATAACAATAATAGGTGAGTTGATGCGTATGTATACCCCCAAGCCAAGTATATGACTATTGGATTCTTCGCTAATCAAAGGATACTATATCACTGAGATCTGAAGAAAGATTATCAAATTTTAAATTAGTCTCACTAAACATCTCTAACAAACAAAAAACATTTTTGTTTTTTCATATAAGATATGCATCTTTAATTTGTGGCAGCACATTTAAAACACATTCTCTTGGAATAATCTTTTTTGCTATGAAAACCTCACATATTGCAATGAAAAACTTCACAAGTTGCTATGAAAAACTTCAAATGTTGCTACGAAAAACTTCACAAAACTAACATGTTGAAAAATAATTAACATGTTGAGAAATAACTAGCGTACAAAAAAAAAACATCCACCAAAATAAGAAAAATTATGGAATTTATATATTACTATTATTTCAAAATATGAAAATAATTTTCAGATGTCTTAATGAGACATGAGTTGCTTTGAAGCAATTAGATTCTTTTTTATTTTCAACCAATATGTTTTCATTTTAAAACATTTTTTTTTTACATCGTCTCATATAGCCATAGGTACACATACATTAACTAAGATGTATGTACATTCTGCTGTGCCTAAGGCATGTTGGTTCGGACGAGCACTCTTTTAATCGTAAGGAAACTTTACAAAAAAAAGTTTCTCAATTTTTAAATTTTATTCTTTTAAATAAAAAAATTTAAAAATTACATACTTGAATAAGGGGCGCACAGATATGCAGATTATTTTTTACTTTTTAGACTATTAATATTATGACATGCAGTATAACATTTGATTTAATGCTTTGTTTGTGTGGATGTATTTAAGTGTATCTATTATAATTTAAATATAGTTGGCCATTTTAATGATCAGTATAGATATATTGCACTGATATATGGTTAACAAAACCATTAAGTGTTGGTTGATCACCAATCTTTTATCTTATAACATGCGCCCAACATTTTTTGTTTTACGCGTATCAAATTTGTTATAAAATCTGTCATCATTATAAGAGGAATATAATAAACATTCTGACAAGCTCAAAGAAAAATTATTTTCTACTTTTTAGTTCGCTTGAAAAACGTTGTTTTTAAAAAATTCATTTTTTATTGCAGATTATTTTTTACTTTTTAGATTTGTTTGGTTATTTTTTCTGCATATAAAATTTTATTTTGTTGAGATTGAGAGAAATATTGGCTGTCAAAGCTTGAAAATAACACCTCATAAATAAAATTTTGGACAAAATTTAAAAATTAATATTTTAAGAGCTAATAAATTTTATTATTTAATATTTCAACTGTTAATATGTTAGTATATGTAGTTTATAAATATATTAAAATAATTATTTCAAATACCATATTTAGTAATATTATAAAGTTTTTTTGAAAGATGTTTTATTTGAGTAAAGAAAATTTCTTTATTCATTTTTGAATAACAATATCTAATTCTTGCTTCAAGCTCTTCCAAATTCTCAGCTCTCCAATTATTCTTGTACACTAGCCGTTTTAAATCACCCCGAAAGTTTTCAATTGGTCTTGCTTCTGGAACGTTAGTTGGGTTTATATCTTTGGGTACAACTTTAATTTTTTTTAATTTTAAAAAGTCGATGACCGACTTTGCGTAATGCGATCGAGCTAGATCAGGCCAGAAGATAAACTCATTGTCTTTTTTATAATATTCTGATACTAGAGGAAGTAAAGTTTTTTCTTCTATCTCTTTATAAGTGTACTGGTTGATTGCCTGCTTACTGTGATAAATATAAAGAGGGCTTATTCCACGGGGGCTGATGCAACAAGAAACTAAGAGTTTGTCCTCGTACTTTTTACGCAAATTGTATCTAACTTTGTCAGAACATTGAGAAGGATCAGCGGCATAAAACCTATCATTACCAGCTAATATGCTATTGTTTAAGGTAAAATAGCTTTCATCATACATAACAAAATCCAATTTTTTATAATTTTCATACAATTTACGACATTTAGGACGCATAGCTGTCTTCTGCTGATGGTTACGATCTGGACGATTTGTTTTTCGAAAGTTCAAATGTTAGTCATTGTTTTTAATACTTGGGAAATTCGAGTTTGACTACAGTTAAAAACTTGAGCTACTTACTTTTGGGAGCACCCTGACTTATTTTCAAAAAATGCAGCAATCTTTGGAATAATATCTTTAGTAGCTACCTTAGCGATTCGACCACTTCCAACTTTTCTTTTTAGAGATCCATTCTCCAATTTTACGATTTTATTGTAAGAAGTTAATCTGGGTAAACCTCATTCCATAAAGTGCTTAGCAACAAACGCTTCACCTTTTTCTCAATTTTTGGGAAAAAAATTTCCATCATTTTTTCGTGGTCCTTCTCTTTCACCATTTTGTTTTCAATATTTAAATAATATTTTTAAATTAATTGAATTAAATTTAAATAGATTATAAAATGCTCTTTCACATAAGTATAAAAGTTTTTTGCTTGCATGAAATAAATTACATAATAAATGCAATTAAAATTTGTCCGAAATTTTATTTATAGGGTTTTAGTTTTAAATTGCATTGTCATCGAGTTTTGAGCTATCCTGAAAGTTTCAGAGCTCTAGCTAGTCGGGAAGTGGGTTAAATATAGCTTCAAAGATTCTAACCGGACGGACAAACACACACACACACAAGAAATCAAGTTTAAAAAACGTTGTAAAAAATGCTTTTATTTAATATCA